TGCACTCTGAAAGGCTTACAGAGATGAAGTTAACTAAAGAAAGCAACAAGGGCTGAGACAAAAAAAAAAGAAAATCCATTACCACCCAGAAGTTTTTGCAGTAAGATCTGGACTCCGTGTGGGAGACATGGCCTAGAGGTGGGAAAACTGAATCAGGAGAGAATGAAAGGTTTTGTGCATGGTTCTGGTCATGGCTGTCTGTTAATATCCCTGGCTTGCCTGCATTGGTCAGCAGGCATGTGGTGTATGCATACCGGAAAGGTTTATTGACAAAGAATGGGGCACATATATCACAAATCAACTGGTAGAAATTCTTGAAATGAGCCTGAGAGCCCACAGGAAGCTTTGACATGAAACCACAACCTTTGGATTCAAGTAGTTTAAAAAGCAACCCTCCAGATTGGTTCTTCTTTCTTTCCACCAACCACTTGTATCTCAGACATTTTCCTACTTGGCAGAACTGCCTTGGCACCCTCTGAACAGGCTGATGAGGAGGCTGGAATGTGCGTGAAGGAGCAGAAGGAGAAGCAGACAGATGAAAGCACAGTGAGACATTCCTGGCTTCTGTAAAAGCGCTCCTCACTTTCTGCCACATGTACACAACATTCTGTTGAGCGCTAATCTGGGATCATCTATCAAAAGACTTAAAATTTTTAAATACCAAAAGTTTTGTTTAGAGGTCAAATTTCAGAGTTTTGGCTGTATTTGGAGTGTTTGCCTTAGGAAGAAATGCCATCGAAGAGGCCAGACAATATGCAGAGTTAGCCTTGAGGACAAGTGGAAAGCAGAGGGCAAACAGCCTACCCTCCAGAAGAGGAGCTGTTAAACAGAGGCCATTAGGCTGCCTCTTCACTGGAGGACTGGGGAAGGAATGGGCGGGTCTCCAGCTCTCAGTCGAAGTTACTCCAGAGGCGGCCCATGGTTCTCACTGGCTTAATTAAAGGCTCTGGGCTGTGTATCTTACTCTAATGACACCTTGATCTCAACCACCGCAAGAATTTAGCTACCCTATACCCATATTTCCATCACATACCATTAAATAGGATTAAGATGATTTTCAGTATATTCTTCCTAAAATTTTCTCCCTTATCCAATTTCCCCAGCACCCTTTTAGTGCCACAGTTTTCCCTTTCCTGTCGCTCGTGTGTAATAGTGGAAAGAGTTAAAATATCATCAGCTTGGAGATACACAGAGGCTCTACACTTGGTCGCTGTATCACCTGGGACATTTGTTCACCTCTGAGTCTTAATTTCCTTTTCCACAAAATTATATCGATAGGATACTACAGAGAGTTTCCATGGAGATTAATTAAAGATGTGACATGTAAATAGCATAAGGTTTAGCACCCAGTAGATGCTTAGCTTTGTTAGCCACTCCCCCTTTTCCATCCCCCTATTCACTGTTCTTGTTGGCTCCCAATATTGATCTGTTTATCCCATCCCTGAATAGTCTGAGTGAAGATTGTTCTTAATGACCAAATTAGGAAAGAGGAAAAGTAGATGAAAACTAAAAAATAGTACCATCCATTTTCCTCACTTTTGAAGGAATTGGAAAGGAGGAAATCCAGCATCCTGGGTTTTCAGCATTCTCTCCTTCTCTGATTCCTTTGGTCCTCATCCACCAGTGAAGAGGAAGACCTCTGTCCACGAGATACACGGAGGATATTTCAGCCCAGGGAAAATTATCAGCAGTTTCTTGATTTTACATTTACAACAAGCAGAACTGCCCACCTGGTGGTGATTCTTCTAACATCGGGCCAAATGATAAAAGAATTCATTGAAAGAGCTTAGGATTCATAGCAATACATTAGCATAAAACAAGACATTAATGATGCTAATGAGAAAATAATGTTACTTACCTGCCTTAAATATGGTATTCTGAAACACACAAAATGGCAAAACCATGGTGAGCAGTTGTATAGATTTATAGATACTACTCTAACCAATGAGCTTCAGCAGCAGTAAAGAATCTGCCTGACAATGCAAGAGATGCAGGAGACAGAAATTTCAATCTCTGGGTTTGGAAGATCCCCTGGAAGAGGAAATGGCAACCCACTCCAGTATTCTGACCGGGAAAATCCCATGGACAGAGGAGCCTGGTGGGCCACAGTCCATATGGTCACAATGAGTCAGAAACGACTGAGAGACTGAGCATACACGCACTTTAACCATAAAAAATACGTTGGATGTGACACAGGAAGACAAAGATGTTATACATGATCCTTCATAGATCCCTTTATTAAAACTCAGACTGATTTTTAGAGAAATTGGGCTGTCTTCTAAATTGTCTTTCTTTTAATCAGGGAATTCAGATTCCTTTTTTCCTCTAATTTGCATTCAATTCCTGTTCTTCATTGCCATCTTCTATGAAATGCTATGTTTCACATTTTGTATCTGTTTACATATATCAAAGACTACATATTTATGATCTTGATGTTTTCAGAACAAAACTCCGGACTTTGAGTATTCATGTGTTCATTATTGTACAAAGGAAGCATTGTGATTTTTTAAAATGGTAACCTGGCCAAGATACACTGCAGTGCTTTAGTAAGAATCATTCCTATTTATTTTTAAAATGCAGCCACATCAGTATTAAACTACAAGGTTGGCACTGGGAATGGTCAGTCTTTCTTTAAGTGTTATCCACAGCTAAAAAGCAACTGTATATCATTTCCTGTGCTTCCTTCCCTTTGCTTGGTTTTCCAGACATATCCAAGGTTTGCAAGATCCTTTCTTCTTGCTCTCTCTACTCTTCTATACTCTCCCATTGAAAAGTAATAACTGGCGGGTATTTACAGCAGGGGTGTCCTCAGCACTAGACTATCAAACCAAAAGGTGTACATAAGGTGGCTGATATCTTCATCTCCATCAGACAGAAGAAGCCAGTGCTGGATCTGAGCTGGGAGAGTGGACGTCTGGAGTATCTAATATTGCAGTGGAATGCTAAGCCTTTCTGCCATGCATGCCCAGGCTTCCTGCATATGGGGCACTAGATATTAGATCCCTTTCACCGTCCACAAAAGATCCCCTGGAATAGAAACACTCTGACCAAATCCTAAATAAAAATGGAAAAAGGACACCATGACCCATGAGAGCTTCCTTTTCTTTCCTGTATCAATGCTGACTTGAAAACCTGACCCTTACCTCTTCTTTGCATGATTATCGGAAGAGGTTCACAATTGCCATGAGAGAGAATATATTCCAGTGAAGGTCCTAGGGATCTATATGTTCATTTACCTAATAGGGTTTCTCTGGTGTCTCAGACTGTAAAGAATCCGCCTGCAATGTGGGAGACCTGAGTTCAATCTGATCCCTAGGTTGGGAAGATCCCCTGGAACAGGGAACGGCTACCCACTCCAGTATTCTTGCCTGGAGAATTCCACGGACAGAGGAGCCTGGCAGGCTACAGTCCATGGGGTGACAAAGAGTCAGACACAACTGAGTGACTTTCACTTTTACCTAGTAAGATATTTATGCGAAATGAGCTGCTTCCCAGAATTGCAGAAGTTTCCACAGGAAAAGACGTTAGGTCTGACACACACAGCAAGGATTGAGGCCCTAATTTAAGCCCCGTTGAACTTTAAATTGAGAGTTTTTCATTATTAGGATTTGAAATCCCAGGCCAGTCTATATTTAAGTTTGAGTCAGCCAACTATAAGAACAACTTAGCCATATGCCTCTTTTTCAAAGAACTTTATTCCTTCAGCCCCAGGCTCAGAATTAGATAACATGTCTTCTATGGATTTTTTTTTCCTCTTCACATCAAACAATATTAAAGAGAAAAAATAGAGGGAAAACGCTAATTATTCCCACATGTATACTCCGATACGGCCAAGTGGAATTACTGACAGTTTCCTTAAACACAGACTCTGGTTCCAGATCTCCACACATGTGGGCACAGGCCCTCAGCCTCTGCCTGTCAGAATCCCACCCTTTTTTTTTTTTTCCCCAAATCCCACCCAAAGGTCTCTTTCTCTGTGTGGCCAGCTCTCATCACCTCAGTCAAAAATAATATTGCTTCCTCTAATATTGCTCTTGTGTCTTCTTGAGGCCCCTTTCCTGTAAGGCCTGTATTAGCCCTTCTGCATAACTTCTCTGTTGATCCCAAGCAGCTTGGTGACAGCAGCTTTGCATGAATCTGCATTTTTACAATGATTCCTGGCAGTGTCTTAAATGTGAGAGGTACTTTCAAAATATCAATATTTTGCCTCTGGGTGGTTAGAAATTGGGGAAGTGGAAGATTTAAAGGGGTAGATATTCAACAAAGACGCTGACCTCTGTCAGTCTCCTCCGTAAGAGCTCTCAACCTCCCATGCCGAGGGTCAGGGGCCTGGAGTGTGTTTACTCAGGGCGTTAAAGCACTTCAAGTTTACTCTTCACTGGACCAACTTTATTTATTTCTTTGTAATGAAGGGTGGTAATTTATACTCAGAGCTTTATGCTTATGTGAAGCGGCTTTTCACGTACGTCGTTTGTCACACCCAGATCTTCTACCCGGCTGGGCTGCAGCTGCCCTGGAGAAGGCGAGCGTGCTTTCCCTAACCTTTACCACCAGAAAGATTTTTCCCGTGCCCAGGCATTGTTTTCCTTCTGCTGCCGTTTTCTCCTCCCTGTCTCTTCTCCTCTGAACTCCCAGTGAGGGCCGCTTCTCCTGGCTTCGACAGCTCGGAGGCAGGGCAAGGCCACAGCGCAGGGCCGTGCTCGCGTGGGCTTCCCCGCCGCGCCGCTCTCGGCTCTGCGGGACCTGCCTCTCCCGGGCTCGCGGCCGGGCGCGGCCCGTCCCGGCTCCTGCCTCCCTCCGATTGGTTCTGCGAGGTCACGTGGGAGCCGAGGGCTGGAATTCTGAGTTGTGGCTCCTGGCTCTCCTTTTTTTCTTTTTTTTAAAAATCGCTGGGTCTGTTGAGCTCTGCCGGGCTGGGTGCCTCGCTCAGTGACTGAGGCTGGAGGCAGACGGAAACGGCCACAAGGGCAGACTGAGGGGGCAGAAGAAAGTCTGCCGGGATGTTGAGTCAGGGACCCCGGACCCCAGCTTCAGGTTGCTACTATCTAAATGCCATGACACCTGAGGGCCAGGAGATGTATTTGCGATTTGATCAGACTACGAGACGCTCTCCTTACAGGATGAGCCGGATTCTAGCACGCCATCAGCTAGTGACTAAAATTCAACAAGGTGAGTCGCTGGTAGTGGAAGGCTGTTGCTAATTCTGATTTCTGTGGGCTCTCTTTCATGCTAACCCCGTTTTTAAAAATGACTGTTTTCACTTTACAATACATGGATTTCTATGCCACGCCGCGAATACCTTTCAGAAATGCTGCCGTTTTAAGCAAACAGTGACAGCACTTAGCTGCCACATAACTCAACGGTAAAGTCCACAGAAAACTTCAGGATGGGACAGTGAACCATCAATTTCCGAGACTTAATGTGTGTCTACAGAATAAATGAGACAGGTTTCCTCAGTACGGATTTTAGGAGCTTTTCAGCAGGTTCCTCACACTCTGTCACATTTAAAACTTGGACACTTGTTTATTTAATTGGGAGAGGGGGAAGAACTAACTTCCACCCTGCCAAGATTCTTTAGAACACTGTTAGTGACAGGAGAAAGTTAAAATTCTATTCTTAAGGCCCTTGGGCTGACAACCAAAGTCACATTCTCTGCCTGTTTGTACGTTTATGTCAGCAGTTGCCACTGATTTGTTGATATTGTTCTTCTAGTAAAAGATAAAAGTGTCTGCTAACCTCAAAACAAATCTTGTGACAGAAGCACCAGCTTTGTAAGGCAGACAGGAGAGGATACTGATTACAAGCTGCTAGGTGTCCCTTTTTATTCTCAAGGCGGGCGGGGGGAAATCACTAAAACTCTTTATGCTCCAGAAATAGTTTAAAAGGTGCTGTTTATCTTAGGATAGGTTTGTGTAGAGTAGAAAGATGAGCATTCCTAAGAAACTTCAGTTGCCCATTTAAAAGACGTTCTCACATACCTAAACATATACAATATGTTTATGAAGTTTATAACCAGCCCCTTGCAGACTAACTAAATAGCTCAATTATTATATTGGTGATACATAAATCGACCAGAATTTTCTAGAGCCATTACAAAAATACAACTTCCACTTAAATGAGTTTAAGATTATATTGAATTTTAGAGGGGAAGCTGGGGTTCGTAATCATGAAAATCTTATTGTAATGTTTCCAAAAGAAACAATATGTATTCTAGTGAGCAGCATTTGATGAGATTGTTTCCTTGGAAATTAGGATTTGTTTTTAAAGGTTCAGGAACTGGTTATGTGTGAAGGATACTGGTCCTACATACCGGTCTGATTTCAGGAAGGATATTATGTCATTCCATAAACTCTGTGTTCAGGTCTTGGTTGAATAGAAACAAAAGTAATCATTTCCCTGTGGCTTGATTTAAAAATACACTAGGCTTAGAATAAAAGCCAGCTCCATTTTAGTTTTAGAGATTTCTAACAATAGTGCTTTACCAGACATCATCATCATTATGGACATAGGGGCTCAGTAAATGTTTGGTGACAGTTTGATGGCTTATATAGTCTGTGCTCTGTAAACGTTCCTCAGCATGCTCATGAAGTGTGTTATGTTAGAAACATTGCATACAACTAGTTTGAACTATCTTTGTCAGTCTCCTTAAATGAAGTTATAGTGATTTATTTCATAAAAAATTATTCATGTTCTTTCTGGAATGAAGATTATTTTTCCAATAAGGACTTGAGATGTTATGAACACATGTATGATCGTTGAAAGTATATTCTGTGTCAGTGTTTCATTTTGTCTAATTAGAAAATTTGAGCATTCTTACTTTTTTTTTCATATTGGGCAATGGAATATTTGAAGCTAATGAATGCCTAAAAATTAAGTGACAGTTAGGATCATAGGTAAAGCATGCAAGAATTCCAACAGTCCAATGATTAGGAGCTTGTTATTTGTTAATAATGAGTTAGATGGTGAGTTAATAATACAATGTGCAATTGTATCATAAGACTTTGAGAAAGCAGAAGCAAAACAACTTTACTGGGTTTACTGTATGAATACATTGGTTTCCTGTAATAGTAGAGAATATTGACTGAACATTTATAATATATCATGTTCTGCTCTGAGGGTTTTATATTATGTATTTCAATTCATTTTATCCTCAAAAAGTACATCCTTGTAGGTGAGTACTATTATTATACCCATTTTAAAGGTGAGAAAACAGAAGTACATAGAGTTTAAATAATTTCTCCAAAGTTACATAGTAAGAACTGGTATTTGAATGTATCTGTAGAGACCATGCTCAATCATACTCTAAACCATTTTTTAGTTTTTATAGTGAGGGTTAAACTACCAAACCTGTGGTTGATTTCTGAATTGTATATTTCAATCTTTTCTACTCAGGATATAGCTGAACCATATTATAGAATCATCATGAGATTTCCAGTCAGGTCTTACTTCTCTGGTGGAACAAAGTGCTATGTGTTTTACCTTCCTCGAGCAGTTAGTACCCAATAGTACATGACGTCTGGTTATTTTACCAATGCCCACAATCATTCAGTTAATGCTTATGAAGTGCGTATTAAATTAATAGCATCATTATTTTTTGTAGCTCACTTATTGGTATCTTGAAATGACAGCCACTTCACTAAAATGGTTTTCATTACTCTGCTATAGATATTTCAAGAAAGATTGGGCATTGTATTAATACAGTTTGGGGGCATGAAGACATAGTCTTTCATGGCTGTTGGGAACAGTGCAAACCGGAGTAAGTTGCTCCTCTCTGACCTCATTACAATGAGATAATCATTGAATGGCATGGACATGATTCAACAGTAGATCCACTCATGGGAGGGGAAAACAAGGAAGGGAAATAAAGGAATCTTTGATGATGCATAGGATCAGAATGAGTTGCTAAAACCCAGGATGAATCTAAACTTGCTCATCTTAGGGTATGCTCCAAAATATACATGCACCATTTCTCTAGCTGTCTCTTTAGTTCTGGAGTCTTAAGTCCAGTTAAAAAGAGAAGCAATGTTTAAAATAGAGTGTTGTTTAATAGAGTAAAAACTTATCACATAAATCATACTGCTCATAGTCCTTACCCCACAATCTTGCTGAATCAATGGGGAAATTGTTATAGGGAGAAAGGATGGAAATAATAATGGTCCTTATTTCCCTCACAGGCAGGCACTTGGAATGGACAAGAGGGAGGATGCTAAGGAGGTGGAGGAAGAGTGTATTAGGCCATGGAAGGGGAGAATGAGGATTTTATGTCATTGCTGCTGCTGCTAAGTCACTTCAGTCGTGTCCAACTCTGTGTGATCCCATAGACGGCAGCCCACCAGGCTCCCCCGTCCCTGGGATTCTCCAGGCAAGAACACTGGAGTGGGTTGCCATTTCCTTCTCCTTTATGTCATTAGATGGCTACAATTTATTGGCTACATGTGTACCATGCTTAAGTCTATACACACACACCTTACTAGGAAAATTCAAATTGAGGCAGATATATAAATGTGATTACTTGCTTTGTGAAAGAATTCATCATGCTATTATATGTAAAAAATATGTTAATGCTTTAAATAGCATGAAATGGACCTGATTGCAATAAAGTCCACTGAACTCTAGAGAAGAAAGGAGACAGGGATGCAGGCTGTCCTTAGACACTGTCTCATTCTTTTACTGTGGCAAGTTTCAGACTTTCACTGGGCCTTCATTTCTTGATGAGGAAATGAGATGGTCAGACTGTGATTCTGGTTCTCAGGATATTTCTGTGGTTGAGGCAGTAACTCCTTGAACTAGAGTGCGTATAGCAGGGAAATTTAAATCCAAAGTGACAAAGCCAAAAGGGAAACAAAGCAGCAATCTAATGTGGAACAGATCAATGACTTCTAATTTTTCTACATCTTGTCAAGGAAATGGTGAAATGGAAATCAGATTTTAATTATACTTCTGATGCTAATTAATTGTGTGATCTGGGGAAAGTAACAACTTCTCTGGGCCATTCTTTTCTTCTTGCATAAAATGAAAGAGTTTGAATTAAGTAAGCATGAAGTTCCCATCATCTCTAAAATTCTAGGATTCTGTGATCACAGGTTATTACTTTAAGAGAAAGATGATGCTTATTTACATTTTCCTTATTGTGTCATTCAACATCTACGCGGGCATGCTTCTTTGTTATCTGTTTAATGCTCTCATTATCAATTTACTAGGAACATGAGCATGTCCAGTCTTGTGGACTATTTAAATGTCAGTATAAGCTATAACTGTAAAGGTTAGTTATAATTTTAAAGGAACTTGTAAAACCTTTCTTTCTCAGGAGTCCTGTACTGTACCATAGAGTTATTGTAATGCCTGGCCCCTTACAAGGATTGTAGGGACCAGAGAGTTAATGTAGGTATACCCCCATGCTCACAAAAAAAACCCCTCTTTTCTTGATAGAAAATGTAGAATGTAGAAATTTCACTAATAGGAGAATTAGTGAAAATTGGACTTGCACTTTCATTGACTTTTTATCTGAGACTATTTTTAGAGATAGCTCCTGAACTCAACTAGAGTGGAATAAACTGCCATTTTTATGTTCACAGAGAATGGAACTGGGCATTAGTGATGTGTTCGCTCTCATGCCTCTATCAAGTCAAATGATATCTTGGGGATTTGCCCAACCTAAGTGGTGGCATTGCTCATCCCTGGTGTAAGAGACCTCCACCAATTGAGTAGCATAAGCCAAAATTAAATAATTCTCTGGGTTTTTTTTTGGGGGGGGGGGGATTGCCCTTTCTCTGTGCTTAGCATTCTCTTAGTCAACTACTTTCAGAAATAGAGGATGAATACACCCGCAGAAAGACAGATGGAACACAGAAAACAGGGTGAGAATGTGTCAGTCATGTGAGTGTGCTGGTCAAAAGTTCTTTAAAAAATTATATATTGTCAAAAATTCACATTTCATGAAATAAGGGCCTCTTTCTATTCTGTGCTGGTGGACTGGAGGGCCTGTACAGAAAGGACACTATTCAACTAGAAGTTACAGGAAAATCTGTTAAGTGAATTAAGTCAACTAACTTTGAATAACATTTTAAAAATCATCACATAGTAAAAATGTGAGCAGTCAAGAAATAAGTACTAGAAGGAAATTATCAAAGAGCAATATGCTTGTACACATATAAAACTTGAGAGTTTAA